ATGCTGTGACAGAGCTCAGTAAATGATTTCTGACTTGAGTTGAATGAAATCTATTAATTTGCTTTGGTGTTAATGGGGGGGGGTGTTAAAAGTTGCAAACGGAACAAAAGCAGCCCCCGACAAAAGCTAGTCCGGCATGCCATGTGATTCTTGTTGGACGTGCTCTACCAGAATATTTAGAAAGTTTACGGAGGTAGCTGGGCACGGTGGCTCACGCCTGTAGTCCTAGCACTTAGGAGGCTGAGGCAAGAGGATTGCCTGAGCCCATGACAGCCTGGGCAACATGGCAAGACCCCACCTCTACAATAAATAAAAAAATAAGCTGGGTGTGGTGGTGCGTGCCTGTAGTTCCAGCTACTTGGAAGGCTGAGGCAGAAGGATCACCTGAGTCCAGCAGGTCGATGCTACAGTGGCCATGAGCGTGCCGTGAACATGCCACTGCACTCCAGCCTGGGTGACAGAGACACACACACACACACACACACACACACACACACACACACACACACAAGGAAAGTTTACAGAGGCCATGGCAAAGGGAGGCAAAATCAGGCCACTTCATAATTTTGTCTAAGCGCAGACAAAAACAAGGCCACTGTGCCAAAGTACCAAACGTCCATCTCCTCTAAAGTGAGTGACCGCCGACTTTGTCACCAAGTACAGTTTTATCTTTGCTCTGGCCTGCCCACCCTGTAGGTGAGATTTGAGGCCTTCTTCCAGAATGTTGGGAGCTAGCTCCGTGTTAATGATGTTCTCCAGGCTGCCCAGAAATCCATCGAGACAGACGTTATTCCACACAAGTCCCACACAACCAAGAATATCAGGACGTTACCACTTTGCAACCCTCAATGAAATAATAGATTGAAAAACACATCCACGGATATGACAGCCAAGAGCTAAAATGTCACATAAATTCCCTTCGTTTGTATCAGGTATGAAAATTATGAAATCCATGCACACAGGTGGCAAACACTTTTTTGCGGTTTCCCAGTATCCATCCATATTCTCTATGCAGCTTAGTGGTACCCAATGCCCAGAATAGATGCCACTCTCCTAGCCTC